CGACGGTTTTTTTCGGTTTTTTATAAAAAGCGTCATCTTTACATACAATAGACGACGGTTTTTTCGGTTTTTTATAAAAAGCTTCATCTTTACATATAATAGACGACGGTTTTAAAAAAAATCGTCATCTTTACACATAATAGACGACGGTTTTTATAAAAAGCGTCATCTTTACGTACAATAGACGACGTTTTTTTTATAAAAATTGTCATCTTTACGTACAATAGACGACGGTTTTTTTTATAAAAAGCGTCATCTTTACGTATAATAGACGACGGTTTTATAAAAAGCGTCATCTTTACATACAATAGACGACGGTTTTTATAAAAAAGCGTCATCTTTACGTACAATAATGCTTTTTGATTTCCTATGATGCTATACAACGATTTTAACTAGAAAACCAACCATAATGCTTTATCAAAAATAGTTTCTTTCATAAAACTTGAAGATTCAATAGTTATTACATAGTTAACCAATCTTTATTCTACAACAAACATAATTCCTAACAAGACCTACGTACTCCTAATCCAAGCATTCCTCATCCAAACATACAAATGATGCACAACTGAAGTCTCCTCCATCATCCCTGTAAATAAATCAAAATGACAAAGAGAGAGAAAAAAAAAGAAGCTAAGATTATAAACATAAAAAATTAGGTGGAAGAGAAATTTTACCATTGGTCCATATTTCCATAGAAAACTTGTAAAATGAGCATAAAAAAGACCATCGAGAACCTGCAAATTTTCAACAACAAAAAAACATACGTCTCACATAGAAAACCTGCAAAAGAAAGAGTTATAAATCTGCAAGCTTCCTCCTCATCTCCTGATAACCAAATCAGAAAATCTAAAAAGAAACCAGAAATAAAAAAAATATGTAAACAAATCAGACAAATCAAGAAAGACAAAATCTGAAATTAGGGATACAAAGAACATACCAAAAACGCAAAGAGACTAATCCAGAATTCACTAGCAAGATATAGAAGGGTATTAAGAGATTAGGTGACTTTCAAATCAACCTTTCAACCAGCTTTGATTCTCAAATACAGAACATCCCTCTACATCTTATGGATTTGCTAAGATCTTTTGATGATTTTGTAGAGAGTTTTATGAGGGTGTTTTAGAGAGTGCATGAGGGTTTCAAGGAGGGAGAGATAAGGTTTTCAGAGACGGGGGAAAATCTGAAAATTTGACAAGCGCGAATTCACTTAAGTAGACTTTTTTTAGCGTGTTTTAAAAGACGACGCTTGTTAATGAGAGATAAGATTTTCAAAGACGGGTGAAAATTTGAAAATTTATCGAGCGCGAATTCACTTAAGCGGCCATTTTTTAGCGCGTTTTAAAAGACGACGCTTTTTTTAAAAAAAAATTTGTCATCTTTACATATAATATACGACGGTTTTTTTATAAAAAGCGTCGTCTTTACATATAATAGACGACGGTTTTTATAAAAAGCGTCATCTTTACATACAATAGACGACGGTTTTTTATAAAAAGCGTCATCTTTACGTACAATAGACGACGGTTTTTATAAAAAGCGTCATCTTTACGTACAATAGACGACGGTTTTTATAAAAAACGTCATCTTTACATACAATAGACAACGTTTTTTTCCACTACACTTCTTGACCCTATATGAATACAATGACTGAATTTGATCTTCAATTTAAAATATTTACACTAGTGGATACCACAAAATCTTATGTTATATTTAACGAAAGTATAAATAAACTCTTAATTGTTAGTGAATATTTTTTTTTATGGCATACGCATTTTAAGAAACTAGTTTCAACGATCCAACCGTCAAACTTGTTTGTTTATACTTCGAGATCATCTACACCAAAAATCGAAAAAAATAAACATTCAGAGATAAAGTAACGGAACAAAAAATTTCGACGGTTATAAATGAAAAATCATGATTTAACGGTTATTTTAACTCCGATTTTGATGATTTTTTACCGCTACACTCCTTGACCCAATATGAATACAATGATTGAATTTGATCTTCAATTTAAAATATTTACACTAGTGGATACCACAAAATCTTATGTCATATTTAACGAAAGTATAAATAAACTCTTAATTGTTAGTGAATATATTGTTTTGATGGCATACGCATTCTAAGAAACTAGTTTCAATGATCCAACCGTCAAACATGTTTGTTTATGCTTCGAGATCATATACGCCAAAAATCGGAAAAAATAAACATTCAGAGATCAAGTAACGAGACAAAAAATTTCAACGGTTATAAATGAAAAATCATGATTTAACGGTTATTTTAACTCCGATTTTGATGATTTTTTACCACTACAGTCCTTGACCCAATATGAATACAATGATTGAATTTGATCTTCAATTTAAAATATTTACACTAGTGGATACCACAAAATCTTATGTCATATTTAATGAAAGTATAAATAAACTCTTCATTGTTAGTGAATATATTGTTTTGATGGCATACGCATTCTAAGAAACTAGTTTCAATGATCCAACCGTCAAACATGTTTGTTTATACTTCGAGATCATATACGCCAAAAATCAGAAAAAATAAACATTCAGAGATAAAGTAACGGGACAAAAAATTTCGACGGTTATAAATGAAAAATCATGATTTAACGGTTATTTTAACTCCGATTTTGATGATTTTTTACCGCTACACTCCTTGACCCTATATGAATACAATGACTGAATTTGATCTTCAATTTAAAATATTTACACTAGTGGATACCACAAAATCTTATGTTATATTTAACGAAAGTATAAATAAACTCTTAATTGTTAGTGAATATATTGTTTTGATGGCATACGCATTCTAAGAAACTAGTTTCAACGATCCAACCGTCAAACTTGTTTGTTTATACTTCGAGATCATCTACACCAAAAATCGAAAAAAATAAACATTCAAAGATAAAGTAACGGGACAAAAAATTTCGACGGTTATAAATGAAAAATCATGATTTAACGGTTATTATAACAAACCATCATCTTTACATATAATAGACGACCATTTTTTATAAAAAAAGCGTCATCTTTATATATAATAGACGACTCTTTTTTAAAAAAAAATTGTCATCTTTATATATAATAGACGACGGTTTTTATAAAAAGCGTCATCTTTACATATAATAGACGACGGTTTTTTTTATAAAAAGCGTCGTCTTTACATATAATAGACGACGGTTTTTTCGGTTTTTATAAAAAGCGTCATCTTTACATACAATAGACGACGGTTTTTTCGGTTTTTATAAAAAGCGTCATCTTTACATACAATAGACGACGGTTTTTTTCGGTTTTTTTATAAAAAGCTTCATCTTTACATATAATAGACGACGGTTTTATAAAATCGTCATCTTTACATATAATAGACGACGGTTTTAAAAAAAATCGTCATCTTTACACATAATAGACGACGGTTTTTTAAAAAAATCGTCATCTTTACATATAATAGACGACGGTTTGTAATAAAAATCGTCGTCTTTACATATAATAGACGACGGTTTTATAAAATCGTCGTCTTTACATATAATAGACGACGGTTTTTAAAAAAATCGTCATCTTTACATATAATAGACGACGGTTTGTAATAAAAATCGTCGTCTTTACATATAATAGACGACGGTTTTATAAAATCGTCGTCTTTACATATAATAGACGACGGTTTTATAAAATCGTCATCTTTACATATAATAGACGACGGTTTTTAAAAAAATCATCATCTTTACATATAATAGACGACGGTTTAAATATAAGGTATGACGTATAAAGGGAATAAATACGACGTTAAATTTTATAATACGTCGTTAAATGAAAAAACAAACGTGGTGAGATTTAAAGATACCGTCGTAGAACTATACAAGAAAGACGTCGATATATTTTTATTTTCCGTCGTTGTACATTAATTTAATACGGCGATATTTTGTATTTTACCGCCGTGGATTTATTTGTAATTATATGGCGCCTTATACGAAAACTTGGTCGTGTTATTTTCTGCGTAAAAACGGCGGCTTTTTTTGAAATCGTCGTCTTTACTTTCTACGTCGGTCGATTCATAACTTCTGCCGTTCTTTATTTGCTTTGATTTTACACTGCGGAAATCCTGTTTCAAATAGACGTCGGTTTTTTAATTAGGTACGTCGTTGTTTATAAACAACCATTTGAATCTCCATTTTTTAGGTGTCTAAGGTGTTATTACACGGCGGTTTTATAGAACCGTCGTCTTTTAAAAAACAACGACGGTTTTCACTTAGACCGTCGTTTTTTTCTGGTCGTCTTTGTCACTTTTTGTAGTAGTGTATCTTCGTTCCAACTTCGATTCTACTGCTTTATTCTTCGATTCTCTATATTTTGGGTATGTTTGGGTCACTAGACAGCAGCTTATAGCCGCTGCCCTGCATCAATTTCTCTGTCTTCTGGTCTACGAAATTGATGATAAATATATATTTGTGTGCCTTGTTGTTTTTTCTATGGTTAGTAATAGTTTTTCTCTGGGCCGTGAATTGGTGTGCCTTGTTGTTTTGTATTTCGTTTACGTACAGGTTCTGGTATGCGTTTGTACCCTTTATTTTTTTTCCCTTTCTATCTGATCTTTTTTATTTGCATGTTCTTTCTTTTTATTTTTTTGTTTGTGAATTTTTTGTCTTCATTTAGTTTCCTTATATTATAAGATTAGTTACATGATTGTTTTGAAATTGATGGTGTTTTGTTCTGTAATATTTGTTAGATACAATTGATCTTCCTTGTTGTTGGCTGACTCACTGTGCTTAAGTTTTTCGTAAATCTTTTATATTATTTAGATAGCTATGTACATTAATATCTGCTTAGTCTGATGGTTGGTTAGGATTTTTTGTTTTCTTCAATGAGTTCCTAATTCTTTGATTACTGCATTTGGATGCTTGTTCAGTTGTGCATATGTCGAACCTAATTAGAAGTCGTAAGGCGGTGTTGGCTGCACAGAGTTCACCTCCTGCAGCGTAGCCATCAGCTGCCACAGCTTTAGCAGAGATGGACCACTTGCCAGTTGGTCCCAGGATGTCCGATGCGCCGGTGTCATCAGCATCATCAGTGGCGCAACCTGTTAGCGCCAGACGTCGTCACCGCCCCGCCAGCACCATTGACACCATATCAACAGACACTTCTGGTGCGTCGGGGTCACAACCCGATAAAGATTTCCTTTAACTCCAGTTCTTTTGGACCAATATTTTATAGTTGAATGTGTTATTTATTTAACATTCATTTCATATTTCTTTGTAGCGAAGAAGAACACCGGGGTCCGTGTCGGCAGTTGAAGACGGCGAAGGTCACCTGGGTGACCAACAGTCGTATCAACATCAAATACGACGAGCGGCATCGGGCTGCCCCGACGGCGGAATTGCAAAGCTCTTTGGCCCACGAGATTGGTCATGTCGTTCGGACCCATTGCCATATGCAATGGAAGTCTTGGAAGGTCATGCCTAACGAGATCAAAATGAAGGTGCGCAGACAGTTGTCGGTATGTATCCTACCTTTTAATTGTTTTTGCTTCAAATTTATTTATTTATATTACTTAATGTCTATAATGAATTTATTGCAGACGAACTACAATTTAAAGGACCTCCATGATGAGTCGTTGGCGTACGTCAACAGACTCTTTACTCAGAGGTACAAGCAGTGGAAGAGCAACTTGCACCACTATTTTAAGGCATTTGATGATCCGCAAGTCGCTCTTCATGAGGGTTGCCCGAAGGAGCTTGAGGGGCGGGAGGATAGTTGGGCGTGGCTCTGCGCTCATTTTCAGGCGCCCGAATATGTGGTACTTTTTTATATTAAGTTCAAAATTATTACATGTTTCTTACTGATGTTTATTTAATTTTTATATTTCATTTCAATTTCAACTAATACGTTTATTTTTGTATAACAGAATAAGGCCACAGCAAATAAGGGCAACAGGAACAAGAAAACTCTTCTCCACCATTCAGGTTCCAGGCCCTTCTTGTATAGGATGGACGCACGACGGCGGGTAATAATAAAATAGTTTTATATCCAATTTTGAATATGTCATTAATATTAATTTCTGTTTTTCGTACTAACATTTTTCTTCTCTTGTTCAATTCAGGGGGGGGTCCAAATTCCCGGAGATCGACATCTTTGGCGACGTTTATGTTCGACTTGGGAATGAGTTGGCCGAGTCCATTCATGTAAGTATTCTTTAATTTTAATTATTATCTACGCATTCAAGTTTCAAGGTCATTATATGAATATTTTAATTATTATTTTATTTTATTTTAAACACATGACGATGGTGGAGAGGAGCCAGTTGGTTCTTCAGGAGTCCACCTCCCAACATCCTCCCAATACTCCGCTCGAGTCTGTGGATCCTTCACAAGATACAGGGTTTCAGATCTTGACGGAGACGTTGAATCAGACTTTCGGGAGGAGGCCAGGGACATATTATCGAGGGATGGGGAATGCCCAACGGTGGGAACCTAGACCCCGTTCATCGTCGCAGTCAAACGAGTTGACTGCTTTGATAGCGACGGTCAGATGTCTAAGCTTCTAGAGTCCCTTGCTCGGTCCGACATTCCAATCCCGCAGTTTGGTTCCTCCTCGACCTCCTAGCCCCTCCAACCTGAGCATGGCCATCAGACCTCTGCCCCTGTCAACAATGCCCAGACCTCTGAGCCGCATCTCCCCGACGACCACATTGATTTTGGAACATTATTCGATTAGTTATTTATTTTTTTTATTACATTTTAACAATTTCTCTTGTAATTACATTTATATTATTTTATAACATTTTTTTTCTCTTCATTATATTTTTTGAATGCAATTTTATTTTATTGCAAAAAAATAAAATAAAATAACCAAATTTTTTGTTTTACAAAATATAAGAAAAGAAAATTTTTTTTTTTTTTTTTTTTTTTTTTTTTTTTTTTTCGCAAAACACTTTTGGTCGCGTTCAATTCTCCATTTACCAAACAAAAAAAAAAAAAAAAAAAAAAAAAAAAAAAAAAAAGGAACGACGGAAAGAATAAAATAAATAAATTTTTTATTTTTGCACGACAAAATCCTTCGTCTCGCTAAACAGAAATGCGCGACGAAGCTTGTTCGACGCGCAACATGTGTTGTCGCGCAATTATTTGAGACACGATTTTTGCGACGAAAACAAATCGTCGTGCAATTGGTTGCGACACGAACTACGCGACGAACATATCCCGTCGCGCAAGGTCAGCGCAACGAACATGCTTTCGTCGCGCAAAGGTTTGCGAGACGAAGATTTATGTCGTCCCTAAACATTTTGTGCAACGAAGGTTAACCGTCGCTCTGTTTTGCGCGACCAATGACAATTCTTGGTCACACAAAGTCTTTCTTCACGATCTTCGCGCGACAGATGCTGCGTGACGAATTTCCTGTCGCGCTAAAATTTTTGCGACTACAGTAAACTTTGAGCGACGGAAATATTTTCGTCGCGCAAACTGTAAAATGTAGTAGTGATCCCAAATAATATGGCATATTCCACCTCATCAATACTTAAAAAACCTATTCCAACTTGGAGTCTAATTAGTTAATTTATTTTATGGACAAAATAATAAAAAACTTTAAACTTAAAGAGTAAAAAAAATTAAAATCTGCAGCCACGTTCTTGCAACCCTTGCCGTCGTCATACCCACGTACAGTAGCAAAAGCTTTGCGTCTTTTGCTTGGGATTATTTTCAGGCTAAAGCACAGCAGCCAAAGCTCTTCGTTAGGATTATTTGCGTCTTCTCTCCTTCTCCTCCTTCCGGAAATTTATTAATTCTTTCTGAAAAAAATCAACTTAGGCTCAAGAAACGACTCATTAATTATTTCTGGAAATTTATTCTATGATTTTGCAGTTAGATCGTACTATTTCTTCTCTGTTTTTGCCATTGGATTGTACCATGTTTTCCCTTATCTATGAGATTTATTGGTATTGTGGTTTGTAGGGTAATCTCGAGCAATTATTCTCTCATGACTTGAAGCGTAATCGTTGTGGGGATCATCCTCTCATCCCGATCAGGGCAATTTCGTGCAGATTGAGGATGTCTTGTTGCTCCTGAAGAGCATATTAATGGCTTTTGAATAGCAAGAAAGAGTGTTCTTTAATTTGTTGTGTATATGATTTTTTTTTCATGAACTTCATACATGTCATTGACGAAACTCTTGCAATAGATATATTACTTAACTTTTTTGATTTCCTCGTACGAGTTGCGTTTCGATGATGCTAAAGTCTATAAAAGAGTTGGCTTAAAAGAGTTCTATATCCTGAGACTGCTATATTCATGTCATGTCATGTGGTATGGGTGATCTTACATGAAAATTATGATTGGAAAGCCTTATTTGTGGCAATGGACAAATAGTTAAGGAACAAGTTGGTCGAAATTCTCAGAGACTTTTTTTTTCTGAACTTCTTTCTCAACCCTAGATTGCTTTCGCTTGACTTGGGGACGACCTTTACTTCGAATAGCCAGTGGAGTAAGAATCTTGCTTGCAGCCCTTCTCTAAAATCTCTCAGTCATTTGTTGTCTTCTCGGGTAAATCAACTTCATGTTGATTATTTTCATAAGCAACTCCACTTAATGATAATTTCATTTTCGCATCTTGTAACATCGACATCACCATATTACATTTATTGTCGTTGTCCTAGGTCTGCCACATCTTATCAAATCGTACTGTGCCTCAGGTTTGGCAGTCCAATCTTCAGAGCTTGTTTTCACTTTGCTATGAGACAGCTTCACATCTTTCCTCCATCTTCTTAAAATGTACTTATCTAGAATTCGGAAAATTATCTTCTCAATTAGCACCACGATAATATGCCGACATAATACTCCCGTAAACTCAAATAGCCGTATAAGCATCCAGATATTGTGTTTCAAAGTCGTATGGTGTCATACGACGAATATATGCAGTTGAAGATCTGCTCGGTTCTCCTTTTCCACTTTATCTAGCAACGCATTCTCATATTGCTCCACAAATTGTTTTAAAGTAGTTTTTGAATTTACAAACCCATCAAAGAAAGCATTCATGCTCTCTCTCTCACTACGTTGTGTAGTAGTGGACATTCCTGCCCAAAAAAGTATCTTTCACAAAAGCAGGAACCCACCTTCGCCTTTCATCATAGAGTCCAACTAGCCATTCATTTGCATGAAGCTTATACTTATCCATAAACTAAATAAGATTAGCAACAGCACAATGAGCATTACCAGATCATGAAAAAATATATATAAATGAAATTTCTTTATAATGATGCACAGAAAAATGAAACCAGAAGCAATATTTCATGACGAACACAGAATCTCAGAAAGCCATTACCATATAACCATCAAAATACATCAAAAATTCATTAAAAGAGTGTGTGCGCTCTATCTACTTCAGTCTCTCTAACACTTTCAACGAACATGAGATTTGTTGGTAAACAATCAGCAAGTCATTGCAAAACTCTGAATCTTCGTAAGAAATTGTAGGTGACTTCTTCGGGGCTAGGATCGTGTTACTTGCTAATCAAGAAAAAATAAAAATAAAAACCAATAGAAATTGCTGGTGCACAAATTTGATGTCCCTAACATTATTGTTATATTAACAGAGTGATCCAATATTATAAGTCATTTACTGATTTTTCATAACCCCAAATGCATCCATCCTTGTGATAAACCATGATCTATAGACGTAGACCCACATGAGAAGTTCAAAGAAGAAGATATGGTCAAGGTCCTCTAACGCCAGCAAAGGGAAAGGTGAGGTGACCTATGAATAACAATGAAATAGACAGAAGAAGTAGAATAAAGATAACCCGATTAAAAGCAGAAATTCTAGAATGATATCTTCCACACATCTTTTTCGATTTGAATAGATCCGCATTCCTTCTTCCAGTTTTGAAACCCCTCACTCAAACATTTTAGATTACCATTCCTACTACACGCGCTTCAAGTTCACAAAATTATTTATGCTAGAAATCAGCATGGAAAATTCAATTACAAAACTGTGGAAAATGTTTCAAACGCGCTCATATCTAAGCAGGGATTTTGGGGGAATGGTGAGTGTGAGCTTTTCCCTACCCAAATAGGGAAAGCATAATCTTTCTTTGCCGGTGAAAAGTTGTGCTCCCAAAGAGGATAAGTCTTAGGAATTCGGTGGCTTTCTCATTATGGACAGAAAACGAGACTATGCCAAACCAATAATACCAACTTGTCTTTATTCTTGCTTTACATATTCTCCTAACCAATCACATATTAGAATCCTTATAAGGATCTTAGTTGTTAATACAAAACATTATCGGTTTAGTTTTTTTTTAATTTTTTTAATTTTTTCAAATAGAAACTTCATTAGATAAACTTCAACGGTATAATCAAAGACATCTAAAATACTAATCCCAAGAGGGCAACAAACTAACATACTAAAAACACAACTAACGCGAACAAAAGCAACACAAAAACTATTAGCCTACATCACCACAATTAACCATAAGCCCACAAACCCAACATAACCAAAACCCTAAAACAACCCATGAGCCTAGACGAACCCTACCACCACCACCTGATGAAGCGTCGTCTTGGCCACACCTACCACCACATCTGTAACAAATCTACCTGCACATAAGAGCGAACAAATACACGAAAACAACAACTTTGCCAAAGAATAATATTGGGTGATTTGCAGCAACCTCCGTAAAAGACGATGTAAAATCAAATTAAGAGAATATAAGCGACGTTAGGGAGCGAGTTTTGGAAGCAGAATTTAATTGAGAAAACGGTCATGACATGTATATTGTAAAAATTCATTAATCACAACGGGATAAATAAGGAAGTTCGTTATATTAGAATGTGAGCATCCAACTTCTAAAATCCATTAGTAATGAGCGGAGAGGCTCCAAATCTTTTAAACTCCTCATGCAAGGCTTTCTATTTTCAGTGTGAGATAATACTCTCATCTCACACCCTCACATATAACATCTTTTTGTGTTTAACAGTGACTACTTATTAAGTGAAGTGAAAGTATGTGGCATTGAACTTACCATTTATACCATATTATGGTTCATGAACGGAATCAATGAATTAGTTCTGTGAAGACAATTTATGCTAAAACGGTGTTTCCCTTGACCAGAAAACCTTTCAAGGATATGCTTATAATGGAATCAATAAAACATGAATTAACCTTGACAATAACAAGTCTTAGTGCGGAGTGAAAGAGAAGTAATTGAAGGGAACCTCGAGAAGATTATAGATATTAGCATAAGACTTTTTAGACAGGTGGACGGTATATGGCGACAAGACGAATAAAGGTAAAGCTATGGGGAGACGACAGGTGGACCGTGGAAGAGGACCAGCAAATCACCACCCAATTCATCATTGCAAAATTCCAAGAAGATGAGGCTATTTTGAGATAAGGACTGGTCGGGGGAGTCCCCAAATCCTTCTCCATGCTTCTTGGCAACTTGCATGCCTTGCATAATCCCTGACAACGCCACCCATACACTAATTTTATTTTTGGCCAGAAGCTCACCGACTTGATGCTTATGCAATATTGCAACCATCTCTCTGCCATACACACATACAAACCATCTCAAAATTGGCTGATTTTTTGAGAAGATAAATCAATTAATTCAACACTTAGAGCCGCGGCTGCCGCGTGCATCTTTGTATAAAGATGCATAAGTGCATGCCGTCCACAATTTGGTTCGCTTTCACTAGCAAAATGTAATTTACACATAAGTCATATATTGTGAAATTATTCAAATTAAAATTAATTGGCAATAGTAGTCGAACTTCTCATAAGCAATGCAAAGTTTATTAACTTTTCAATGTCAACGAACTTTTAACTTTACATCCTCAAAAAAAAAAAATGAGAGTATCGATTTATTTCCATAAAGGAGAATGTCAACAATGTTTGGAAAATGTGTTTTCAATTGTCTAGATCTTTAGGTTATGTTGGCTTGTAGTTTTCGCGTTTAGACACATTTTTACTTTATAATTTAAAGTTCGAGTTTGGATGCCTCCACCCCAAATATCGTATGATAAAAAATTAGGTTAAATTTTATAGCCAACTATTATTGTGAATTACTCATTTATGTATATAGTAGTATAGGACAATCACTGGCGGAACTAGCCTTATGGGGTGTAACGCCCCAGGGGGGGGTTGTAGTTTTTTTTTTTTGTGGGTGGGTGGGGGGGGGGGGGGGGGGGGGGGATAAATTTATGTATTGGACTTATTTTAAATATAGCCTAATATGTATTAATTTATTAAAGTCCAAAAAAGTATAATTCTTTATGAATTTAGTTGCAGTGCAATAAAAAAAATACACATTAAAATAGGTACACTTTCAATTTTATTGTTGAATATATTTTTATTTTTTATTTTAAACAAATGATATTCTACTTTAATCTAATCTAAACTATAGCGAGGGAAATTTGAACTCGAGTGCAGAGCTAGGAGCACATCTTCTCTAACCAACTTGCCTAAACCCATATCTACGAACATATTTTCATTTTAATAATGTGTTCTCGGTTGCATTTAATATGTAATTTTTATTTATCAAAGTTTATTAGAAATTAGTCAATAGAGCTATGAACTAGCATGATTTATATGATTTAACGTGTGCTTTTATTTCTAGAAAGACTATATAAATATAAGTAAAGAAAAAACATGATCATTAGATTTTAAACTAATAACTTTAGTTAGCTCACCCGTTGAAAAATTCCTGGTTTCGCCATTAAAGACAATTTTGAAAGAAAAAAGCGAATAATCTAAACTGTCAGAAAACTATAATAAGAATAAAATCATAGTATCTTTTATTTTTCTTGTTTGAATCATACTTCTAAAGTTCTAACACAATTGTTTTTTATAGCAATTACTTTTGTTACACTTTGTACCACTTAAAATTGATTATATATAATAGACTTATTTGTTGAAATACCTCGTGTTTTTTTCCAAATTATCTCAGTTTGCCCCATAACGTTTAAATGACTCAATCTTCCCCCCCTAACCCCAAACTTCCGTGACCAAAGTTGGCCCATTCCATTAGTTTTCAAATGAAAATCATTCATTCCAATTTAGAAAAGAAGAAGAAAATGAAAAATTGAAGAGGGAAGACAACCCTACTGTTGCAAAGGGAAGCAGAATACAAGATCTGTTTTAGATCCATCCTTGCTCATCTCTCTCACACGACTCCATAACCACAGTCGCCATTCCACATTCCAGCCTAACAACCAAGTTGCTCAGCCTTCCCCCACCCCCACAAACCCAGTTGAAAAAGCCAAAATCTTTTTCATATTTCTTTATATCGATGTTCAATTTTATATTTGTTAGATTGGTTGAATGGATCTCGTAAGGGAGCTGTGGCTTGGTTGGGGTTTCGATGGAGGGTGAGGCGACTGGATCTCATAGGGCACGGGTAAGTGTTGGGTTAAGATGACTAGAGATCATAATTAGAAAGACGACAACTGGGTTTGTGTAGGAAGATCAGTTTGGTGGTTGTGGGCGGCTGCTAATATGGTTGGGGGTGTACAGTGGGGTGGTGGTGCGATGGAGCCGAAGGAGATGATGCAGAACTTTGGGGAAGTGTTAATTTTTTTGTTTTTTAAAATTTTATGTTATTTTATTATTTTACATATTTGATTTTGAATAATTTCAAGCATTTTTAATATTTAATAGTTAAAATTATCAAAATACCCATATCACGTCAGCGGATTTAACCATTTTTGTCTGAAAACAAATGAAATGAGGCAACCTTGATAACAGAATGGAAGTTCATGGGGAGATTGAGTCGTTTATACTTCAGAGGGAAAACTGAGACAATTTGAAAGTCACAGGGGGTATTTCAACAAATAAGCCTATATAATATTTACTTTCTCAATACACAAGAGCCCTCCAGATATGTCAATCGCAAATGTAGTAGAATAGTCGATACAAGAACTTTGAGCATAGTTAAAAAAATGATAGACCAGATAATAATAAATAAATAAAGATTGAATCCAATCATACCCAAATTTTAGTAATAATGCCCCCTTTTCAATCGGATGGGAAAGAGTGATGATGCTTGCAAAGATATTGAAAGGAGGAAACAAAGAAGGGAGAGGAGTTTCACGTTGGTTGCTTCTGGTTTTTTTTTTTTTTTTTAGAGAGAAGAGAGAGAGAGTAGAGAGAAGAGAGAGGCATAGAGAGTGAGACAGGAGCATAGAGCAGAGGCGGAGGAAGGGGGAGAGAGCGAGTGAGTTCTGGATAATTAATAATTAAAGGGTATTTTAGGAATAATGGTGGGTGGAAAATAGAATTGTGTTTTTTTTTCCAAATTTACATGGTGGTTGGGAAAATAAGGTGGATGAGAAAATAGAATAGGGAGTGGAAATAGCAGCACTCAAAATAAAATGGAATATAAAAACAAGGAGAGAAGTCCAAAACGTATAAAATGAGAGTAGGAAAATCGCTACCCTTTTCGGGTAGTTGCTTTGTAGGCAACCACAACCGATTTGCGTGAGACACTAGGCACATAATTATCGTGAATAATTGTGGGGAGCATTTTATTCGTTTAAGCATCTCACGAAAAACGGCCAGTACATGCACGAAAAATGGCATGAAATGAATGAAGGACATGCCAACAAGCACTTAGACCTTTTCTATAAATAGTGGCATTGGAAGTCGTTTAAGTTCATCCAAAGCTACCTCTTCACTTCCTTCACCTCTCCTCTCGAAACCCTTTTCTCCATTTTCTTTCTGCATCTCTTTCCCCACCCTCCAACACAATTATCCCAGACAATTGCATACGCAAAATTTGAATTGCATGTTTTGCACCCAATTACTTTATGTTAACTTCTTTGTTTTATCTGTTTAATTTCCTGTCAACATGTTTTCTGTAGAAGCTAAGCTAGTAGAGGAGGCATAGGTGATTTTGCTGACAGAAGATAGAGAGCACAGATGGTGAAATGCATGAACAAGGCAGCATCTCAATCCTTTGTGCTCTCTATGCTTCTGTCATCACCTTCATCCCCTTACCTCCCCTATTGCTATTGCTTATAATTTGATTTCCCATAATTAAATTAATCCATATTCATGCATTCCATAAAGTGGTAATAGCACATATATAAAAAGCATGTCATCAGTAAATCTTGGGATGCACATAAATGATAAGAATATTTTTGTGTACATTAACATAAGATTTGGAATTTCCCCTTTTTGGATAGTTTTTTCGTCTAACCACAACTAAAGACGTACTTTTGTTGATTTGTCTGTTTCTTTTTCTGGTAGGTACTAATTAAATAAAGGGGTTCTATTCTAGCTACTGTATTTTTTGCAGTTTTAATTGGTATCTGTTTGATAAGAAGAAGGAGAAGGAAATCTCTCCTCTTTGAATCTTAATATAATTAAGAAGTTGAACTCCTGTTTTAAATTTCCTAAACATATTTATAGGGTATATATATACATATGTCATATGTGTGTGGAGAGAAGAAGCACCAGGTTTTGTTGACAGAAGATAGAGAGCACAGACGAAGAAATGCATGGACATCGACATGGCAGGCAGCATCTCTCTCCTTTGTGCTCTCTATGCTTCTGTCATCACACCTTTAGTTTTAAATTTCCTATACATATTTATAGGGTATATATATATATATATATATATTTGTCATATGTGTGTGGGGAGAAGAAGCACAAGGTTTTGTTGACAGAAGATAGAGAGCACAGATGAAGAAATGCATGGACATCGACATGGCAGGCAGCATCTCTCTCCTTTGTGCTCTCTATGCTTCTGTCATCACACCTTTAGTTTTAAATTTCCTATACATATTTATAGGGTATATATATATATATATTTGTCATATGTGTGTGGGGAGAAGAAGCACAAGGTTTTGTTGACAGAAGATAGAGAGCACAGATGAAGAAATGCATGGACATCGACATGGCAGGCAGCATCTCTCTCCTTTGTGCTCTCTATGCTTCTGTCATCACACCTTCAGCCCCATGTCTCTCTCTCTCTCCCCAAATATTATGGGTTTCTTGCTTATATAATATAATTCCCATTCATATATGTATATATTTTATCTATCTTGATTCTTGGGAATGTGAATAATTAGTGTCAAGTGTGAACTCGTCTGCACAACAAGAGAGAGACCACAAACAAGGCTCCACCATCCAACCGCCGCCAAATTAAAGCCACCCAGCACACAAGGCAACAAGGCACAAGTACCAAAGAAAACAACCGAAAGAAACAAGGCAAAAGCTGATCAAGTTGATTTGGAGCTAGCAGATTAACAGTGTTCACAGAGAGAGAGAGAGAGAGAGAGAGAGAGAGAGAGAGAGAGATATCAACATTCATCTAATTAACAGTGTACTTCAACTTTTGTTCACCACAATAAAGTACAACATTCATCTAATTAACAGTGTACTTCAACTTTTGTTCACCACAATAAAGTACACTTTTTCCTTTTCTTGTTATGAAGTAAAATTTACTACTTGATGTTTTTTTGTTTTGGGTCAATATTTGCGGCTTGATGTTACAACCATAGTTCAAGTTCTTTATAACTTACAGATCCAACTAACAAAATAGAATAGAACTTGTTAACAACTATCTTGTTTGCGGGTTTTGTTTTTGTTCTGCTTTCAATGTATGGAAGATCTTGATCTTTTTATCCTATGTACTTTTTGCAATGGAAAAACATACCTTCTGGTGTTTTTAATCAAAAGAAAAAAAGATATGGGCAAAACCATATCGCAATTATCAAGGAATAAGCAGTCACTTTATGGAGTATCATCATATTTAGAGTATATCCAAACTCAAATCTAACGAGGAATGAATCAAAGAGAAAAAAAAAAAAAAAAAAAAAAAAAAAAAAAAAAAAAAAAAAAAAAAAAAAAAAAAAAAAAAAAAAAAAAAAAAAAAAAAAAAAAAAAAAAAAAAAAAAAAAAAAAAAAAAAAAAAAAAAAAAAAAAAAAAAAAAAAAAAAAAAAAAAAAAAAAAAAAAAAAAAAAAAAAAAAAAAAAAAAAAAAAAAAAAAAAAAAAAAAAAAAAAAAAAAAAAAAAAAAAAAAAAAAAAAAAAAAAAAAAAAAAAAAAAAAAAAAAAAAAAAAAAAAAAAAAAAAAAAAAAAAAAAAAAAAAAAAAAAAAAAAAAAAAAAAAAAAAAAAAAAAAAAAAAAAAAAAAAAAAAAAAAAAAAAAAAAAAAAAAAAAAAAAAAAAAAAAAAAAAAAAAAAAAAGCGCATTCAGTTTGCCCATGTTTTTACTTTTACGGACGTTCAGATAAACTAAGGCATGTAGAGCAAAATTGTATTGTTTTCTACAAAATGACGACGACGCAACACCAATCAACACAAAAAGTACAGATCAAACGAGAAAGAAATGGCTATATTAATTGGCATGCATATGTGTCGTTATACAATGCATGTGATTATATGAGATTAAATTCACAAGAAGAATGAAAAGCACACTATTTACGTATCATTTCTAGCTTTAAATTATCAGCAGCCCATGATTTTCTTAGCTGCGGCAGCACGCTTAGGCTTCTCCTCCACAATGCCGTCGTTTCCGGCCAAAGCCCGGTACTTGTCCTTCCGAGTGAACGTCGTGCACTCGTACGACAAGCTCGCGGCGATGTTCCTCTGTATGTAATTCGCCACATCATGGCTCGACTTCCCGGCCCCACACGTCAAGTCGTACGGTAACTTATTCAAGAAGTTCACTTCATAAGCCGGGCTAGGGTTCATGAAGAAGTAAAACGGATCCATCCCTTTCCACCCTCTGGCCGTGGTGCCGTGGAACATGCTCATCCGGTTCGACATCGCCACCGGCACGAGCTCGTCGGTCAGCTCCGCGAACAGCGCCGAAAACCTTAGCAAAAACGGCTCACGACATGTAGTCCCTTCGGGGCATATGACTAAGTCTTCTTGTTCAAGTAGCTTCTTGATCATGTTGGCGTCGGTGACTCGGTCACGGCTGAGCCGGACGGTCTTGATGGGAGAGATTATCTCCGAGAGACGGGACAAAGAGTACGTGACAGCAAATGAAAAGGAGGGTTCGGTGTGAGCAAATGAAAAGAACTCCGGTTTGGCCTATCGATTTCTTAGCGGGAGGAGGTGGGGTGCCTTTGATGTACACCCGTACGCCCAGGGCCCAAAAAGCGTAGTATACGACGGGCATAGGGAGCAGTGCGCCTGCTGCGATGCGCAAGCAAGCTAACATGAAGCCGACGGGGATCCAAAGAATTGTGAGCAAAGCCATGAGCGGCGTTGGTTTCTGGACTAGCCGGCCGTCATGGAACACTATCGGCTTCGGCAACTTGTCGTGGCTTACCGGCTCGACTTCCGGCTTAGCTGGAACCACGTAGCTCTCTTTGCAAAGCTTCATGAACGGGAAATCCGTTTTCCGGTCTCCGAGCCCAATATCAGGGGCTAAGGACGGGTCAGTACCGAAGGCTTTGTTGAGCGCGTCGGCTTTGTTTTTTCCGACGGTAATCCCTGGGCTAAGGACCCACCCGGTAGCTCGGCCTCTGTACGTGGAGATCTCTGTCCCGAGCACCATGTCCGCGCCCAAAAACTCCTTCAAAAACGCCTCCACCATGATCCTCGGGTTCGCCGTCAAAACGCAGCGTTTCCCGCAGGAAGAGAAGACTCTCCACGTCTCGGAGTGGAGGTCAGTTGAGTAGAATTTCGGGAGAACCGCACGTGCAACAGATTCGATGTCGGAAACTCTCATGCCTGCGAAAGTTGCGAAAACGAGGACGCGGATGCCGGCGGACTCAGAGACACAGTAGTACAAAAGGCCGGCGAGTGGAGATGCGAGTAGTAGAAAGAGAAGCCTTAATATGCCTCCGACCTCAAAGGCCACGAGGGCGAAGTAAGGGATGGAGCTGCGGCCTCTGAGCAGAGTGCCGTCCATGTCCGCCACCACTGTGTGCTTTTCGCGACCGATTGACGGACATTGGTGGATTGTTGGGAAGGTAGGAAGAGAGCATTCCTTTGTCGTCGCGGCCATGCTGGGAAGGAAGGAAATTAGCCAATTTGCCCAATGTGGCTATGGAAAACTGGTACTAATAATAATGTTAGTGTCAATTTGTTATTAGCACCTGGCTAATTGGGTTGAGTTGTGGGTATTTATAAAGTTTTGTGATTAAATTTTAGTGGGACAAAATGTTTTGGCTTATGAGACCAATGACAGTGGCACCGAGATTTCCAAAACAAAGTGGGGGAATGCGACAAAATCTTCCGATTCGCCAATGTAGTTAAGCTAATTAATACATGTGTGTTAGGCTTAATAATGAACGAGAAATAAAGAAGGGTCATTATGCAATAGGCCCTTGCAACTCTAATAGTCTATACAAAAATTCATCTACATATTTTCTTCCAACCAAAACCCAATTTTGAAAACGGATGCCATGACGGATAAAAGTTGCCCATTTCTTTTTACTTATTTACAAAACCCTGCCATTTTTGTTATCCAACGATTTTTCCTAAACAATCCCTAATATCTAGCCTTTCCATTATTATGGTGTTGCTTGGACTCAACAAATCAAAACATTCTCATAATACATATATAATATGTTCGTTCATAAATAATATGTATATATATAGCTATACATATAAACCATAATTACATATAATAATTTACCTATACATATTTCGTAGTAGGTATATTATTCAAATGGTAGGTATATTGGATGACATATAATACCTAAATCCTAATCGTAAGTACATTAAAATTTATGTAGGTATGTTGGATGTCGTATAATGTAGGTATATTGGAATAGATAATTAGGTACACTTTTTATAAATTAAAAACAGGTACACTTTTCATACTAGGTAAATTATATTTTTCATAAAACAAATAATAGGAACATTATTTTTTCAACATAATTAGTATGACAGTACTATTCATAAAAAATTATAAAGCAGATTATTAGTCATGTATAATTCATAAAAAGAAAATAACATAAACATTTTTATTAAACAAACCGATTACCTAAATCTGAATTTATTGTTAAATTTTAAAAAAAAATGTTTCCAAATTAATTCCTACATCCATTACAACCATTTGGAATACCTTTCCAAATTCAACATCTGTCATTATATACAATCCAATTAAAACTATTTCCATATTGATTCCTATATTAATATACCAAATGCAATAATGGCTTAGTTGGGGGTATTTTTGGAATATGAAAAGTACAATAAATCAGATTTTATGCTTAATTAGGTAACTTGCTGAGCTGGATCCTAGTCATGAGTTTTTATTTATACAAATTGGGTATTATTTATAGGAACAAAAAGTGAAGGGTTATAGGTACGACAAATTAAATTTGAAGGATGTAAGTCAAATTTACATAAAGAAAGATGCTGTAAATATTAGGTTATTAGCCATGCATGACGACTATTTGATCTCTATCAAGTTCTTAATGTTTTTAATATGCGTTTTGCTGAAGCACTTAAAAATTAGGGGTAAGCATCTTCGTTTAGCTCGCCGTTGTTTGTCGTGTTGTGCCCTCGTCTTTGTCTGGATCCTAAGGTGATGGGATGTTGCTTTCATTTCTTTGTTTTGATCGGCCCACCCAGTGGCGGATCCAGGATTCAAAAGTCAGGTAGGCGAAACTTACCTTAAAAACTCGACGGTACGAGTGAATTTTATTGATAAAAATAAAAAGATACACCTAGTCAGGGGGGACGTAATGAGCCTTACCCTCAAATATGCATATCTATACATAAATAAAAGCTTAACAAAAAAAACAAGAAGTAAATGCAATGCAACACAAAAACTAAACTATTTTAATCTAAAATTGTACCCTACGAGGCTTAGAAATCTTAAATTCTTCAATTATCTCTTCATTATCGATACTATTAGCAAACTCTCTTTCAATGTGGAGAATCATGCAATCAGCAAGGAATTCATCAGCTATGGTGCTTCGAAGTCTATTCTTAATAATTCTCATACATGAAAAGCTCGTTCCGTTGTTGCTGTAGAAACAGGAAGAGTCAACACCAACTGAATCAATTTGTAAAGCAAATGGTAGTTTTCTGCCAAAGTTGTTTCCACCAATTGTTGACATAACTGAGGAAGAGTGGTGAGGTCCTTAAAGCAGGGAAGGCGATACATATCATTTTGAAAATACCTCAACTCAATTTCCAAACCTTTTAAGTCACTTGGACTGAAATCAGCAGGATAAAATTTCTCAGCAAGTTTACATAGATGCCCAATATTGAATGATTTGAAGGAATTATGAGGATCCAATGCTGAGCTAAGAATAAGAAGTTCAACTGTTTGTTCTGGAAATCTGTCATTTAACTCCCTCAACATGCAATCTATCACATCATTAAATACATCAATGCGATAGTAATGTTCAACTGTAATAAAATCTTTTTGTTGACAAGAACGACGTGTGCCCATCATATAACGAGAACTCATATCAGGAACATCAATACCATGTTGTTCACAAAAGGATACCACACTCATGAATAAATCATCCCAGCCATGTGCCCTCATATCTTGGAACTGTTATTTTGTGATTTCAACAAAGTTTAAAGCACTTACAATATCTTGAGTTTTTTCCTGAAACACTTGACAGAGAAAGTTGGTCAATCCCATAATTTTATCCATCAAAAGCAATGCAAACACAAGAAAACTCAATTTCAAATTAAAATTAAAACTAAGATGCATAAATTTATTTTAGGAATAACCCAATAGAAGAAGATAATTAAAGAGAAGAGATTAAGAAGAATACTTGTTTCCTTGTATATGAGAAGAGAAGAGAAAAGGCTATCCAGTGTCCACGATTGCACAGCACAGCCAAGACTTGCGTTGAGAAGAAGCTCTCCCGACTCTGTCTGGAATTGCACTGCACAGCCACTATTTGGCTGCTTAAGTTATATTCTTTCTTTTATTAAAGTTTGATTGGGCCATTCATAACATGGGCTGGCTGGTTATAATTTTTTTTCTTCAGTTTTTTAAAGTTCGAGTGGGCTTGTGCTGTGGGTTTTATATGGATTGGGTAGGCAAGAGTGTATACCAACACATGGAATGGATATCAATTACATAGCTTATATATAGGTTTTTTTTTAGTGAAATATTTTTGGGTAGGCGGTAGCCTACCCTGCCCTAGCTTAAGATTTGCCCCTGGGCCCACCAGTGTCCCAATTACCATAATCCCATATAGTATACATGACTTTTCAAACTCATCATTGATGATGAAGAGGAGGAGGTTGAAAATTACAGGACTTCAAAATTATGAAGGAAAATATCAATCTGGTGTTAGTTGGACTAGCTTAGATTTTGAATGTGCTCTCAAGTGGTCTTGAGTTCAATTTCTCATGATACTCGTGTGTGTGAATTTTCCCGTTATTTCCTAACTTTTGGCAAAAAAAAATTGAAGAAAAATTATAATTTATTATGTTATCAGGGATTTGCAATTGATATATTTTATAAAAATGGAGTGACGTGACATTTTCCGTATGAAATTCAATGAGATTTAAATACTTGTCTTCGTCCTATCAAGATATTGGTGGGAAAAGAAGACCAGCTCTTCATCAATGGACCATAGATGTGATCGCACCAGCCAATGTGGTCTGTTGTTGGTGCGTTTGGTGTGTAAGAGTAGAGACTATATGATAATAAATGTTATTTGGCCTTTAGAGGAGAGGTGATGCATGAGGTTTTAAAAAAACGCGTGTAAAATTACTTTGGTAAAAGTCAACTTTTTGATGTTTGACTGTCAAACCTGTCTTTGATGATAGAGAGGAGGGGGCGAAAACTACAACAACTTTAGAATTTGAGATTTAAATGCTATCAATCTGTGTATAATGCTATTAATATAATATTCAGACCAAAAAAAATCCTATTAATATAATATGGTGGTGAAAAAGGCCCTATCATCTTCATCCATTTTAGACGAACAATTAACAAAACGAAATTATATGAAATTAATTTGAAATCTTAAAGGATGTTCGTGTAATATCTGAAATTGGGACTACATGAACTAAATGAAAACTGATAAAATTACCGAGACCGAGTGTCATTTGGCCTTTAGAGGAGAGGTGAAGTCAGGAACGAGGCTGAATGTGGTTAAAAGAAAGACATGTAACTGGTGAAGCATTGAGCTGAATTTTGATTGGTTTGGCTCAATATTATTGCGTTCAAGTCAACTTTGACAGATGTTAGAAATGTAGGAAGCATGCTGCTAAACAGAACTTGCAGACGAATCGATGCCATTTTTATTCATTTGATATTTTCTCAGAGTCTAGTAATGACCACCAAATGAACTTGAATTGGAGAAGTAGCTAGAAACCAAAAAAAGGACACAGTGATAAAGTATAATCTTTATAGAAAGCCTGGTTGCACATGAAATTGTACCTATTTGGAGAATCCAAAGTGGAGAGCCAACATCAAAGGGAGAGCCAACAACAAGAGGACTAATCCCTCTACTTGGACACCATTCTTGGTTTCAAGATTCGCTCCGAGGCTATGAACATCTCATCTCTCTTGAATATGTGTCTTAGAGAGTCTTTGGTGCATATTTTCATAAACCTATAAAGAATGGGACCTAATTAGTCTACTTCCTGATTGCAGATGGGGGAAGCACTCCACTTTATGAAGCCCGTATTAGTGGAAATAAGAAACTAATCAAACTGCTTGAAGTTGCTAGAGCTTCGCAGTTGTTAGAGTTCTCTGATCAATATCATCAAGAAACTATCTAAGCATGTCTCTGATCAATGTGTATTATCAATAACACGTTTATCGATTAAATGATAAATGTTTATAGAAGATGGAACAAAAGTTCTGAGATGTTGATATATGTGTTGAGAATTTTGTTAGAATCTTTAAGATTTTCTAACATGCGTACCTTGAAATGCATGGATTGAACTATTATTGTTTATCTGGCTTGACAATTCTCAGTGTCAATTATTCTCATTAGTCTTGTAATAATCAAGGAACCCAGTAATTGTTGGATCATGGAAGTAATGCATGATTGCATCAAGTAATCTAGATCAGAATAGTAAAACGAAAGAAGCATGACTTTTAGTCCCACTTAGCAAGGTTACACAAATTAATGCATGAGCAGCAGCTGCATGCAATATTATTGAAACCCAAATCACAACATAAGGAAAACTTAAGAAAATGCCATTCTCGCAGGGAACGCGATTGCATTTAGCATATGCAACAAGCTTTTTAAACCCATAAGTGACCCTGATAGAACGAGTGAAGTCTCGTGAGGGTTTCCAACGACGCTACCTACAAACATCAAATTAAATTAACAGGATGATCATCCTGGAAGTTTTTCGACAATGAAGGCGAGTTTTTGGGTGGGTTTTGCATTTTTTGCAGAGAGGGCATCCTCGAAGTCCGTTCCAGATCTTGGCTCTATAAGGTTTCCCATTTGCACGTGGATGAACTTGTAAACGCCATCCATGTACGGTATCGGGGGTACCAAAACCTCAGGCTTAAATAGTGTACATGACCACAGGGTTTTATTTGGCTGTTTCTCGTCAGCCTCGGCCACAATCCACGAACTGTCTTGGCTTGCCGCTCTCAAGTATTTGTCGTTGTAGGTGCATTTTATATGCACCAGACTGGGGGTGGTTTACGTCCTTCTCCACTTTGAACCTTGCGTATTTGCTGTGACTATCCTCTCCGGAGCATTGGAGCAAATGTGGCAGCGTTGAGGTGGATTGGTCTTTGTAGACCAGGTATTTCTGTTTCTTGACTGATTTAAGAGCAAGAAACTTTTGGTAATTCTGCCATTTCTGATGATCTAACGCTCGCTCTATGAATGATTTTGATTTTTTTTTTTTTTTTTTTTTTTTTTATGTACAAATGTAAACTCACTTCTCTATTTCTTTCTCTCTCATTGCTTATTGCTTTTCCTATCTCCAACCTGCTGTGCTATTTATAATCAAGCAAACCCAAACCATGCGTGCAGCTTTCACTTAGTTTTCTTGCTGTACTGGCCCGCCATAACAGAGAAAATTGAAGCCACAAAAAGCGTGCTCACCGCATAGGGCCTCCAAAAATTCAGGGCCTCCAATTTTTTTATTTTTGCAAGCATTATATTATATATAAATAATGTTGCATGACAATTTTACAATTATATATATACAATTATTACAATTATTATAAGATTGCTTTACAATTCTCCAAGCACGTTTTTGTTCCCAACATGTAGTGAGTTTTTTTATTTTGGTTGAATCCATGTTCTCCTTTCGATTTTAAAAAAAAAAAAAAAAAAAAAAAAAAAAAAAGTTTTCCCCTCATATCAACATCTTCATTTTATTTCCATTTTTGGCTGGCTTGGTGTGGTATTGACCATTTTTTCCCCATTTTTGTCTGACTTGCTTGACTTGCTGTTGTTTCTCTGGCCTTTTTTTTTCTTTCCATTTTGCTTGACTTGGTATGGTTTGGTATGACGTGTATTATGTTACTATTTTAGAAAACATTATAAGGAATTGAAAATAGATATAGAAGACAATTGAGTGGATGTGAGTATGTGAAAATAGATGTAATTCATGCCATCAATGATGATTTTGGTTTAAATTTTGAAATTTAAAAATTTTACGACAATTTTTATTTTATTTTTAAACATATAGGGCCTCATTAGTTTTCTTTGCACGGGCCTCCAAATCTAAAGGACCGGCTCTGTATATCATACTATCAACCTATTTATTGAATTACTAATTAATCATAATATAAAATGACCAAAAATGATATATTGAATTGTGAAATAAAAGTAATTTTAATAAGTACACCTTACTCAACATATTGAATCCTAATCAAATTTGAATTTTAGAGTTTGATTCCAAATAGATTTGAGATACAAATTCAAAGTTTTTGTCGGTTGTAAATTTTTTTTCTATCACTTCCATAATTCCCGACATCAATGAAGAAGAAGCTTTGAGAGGAGAAAAGATTGAAGCTGCCGAACATAATCCCTTGCCAAAAAGCCATGGTTATTCATCAGACAGCGTGAAAGCAACTTAAATATTATTTCATTTTGATCAGCAAAGCTGCCCAAGCTTTTATGAACTTTTGGAAAGGAATTGTGCAAAGTCCACCACCTTCTGCACCATGAGATTAGTTCTCGCCCGAGTTTTGTTCGTCTGCCTGTTAATAAGATATTTACATGCATACTTCACCTTATACATATCTAATTCACTGGCATGTGACTGTTTATATTTCCCATTACATCTGCAGCACACAGAAGAACCCTCAAGACAGATCATCATCTTTAGACCTTCTGGTTAGTACTCATGAATTTGGTTCAATGAGCAATCCCCGACGGTTTAGATTTGATGAAGGGAAAAGGAGTT